AGCTGTTCTCCAAACCAGACCTTCTATCTCCTATGTTTCCCCTCTGCTTCCTGCTTGGAAAGCACTCCCTCGTTGTCTCTGCCCTTCAGAATCCTTACCTTTCTCCAAGGCTTAGCTCATTACTTATTTCCTTTTGTATCTGTCTCTGAACCACTCAGCTGAAAAAAGTATTTTATCCCTTCTCCTTTGCCTTCATAACTCCCTTATTTGTGGCTTTCATGACACTGGCTTCCTTCAGGCTCGGAAAGGCATATTCAGTGGGCATTTGAACTATCTGAATTGCCCACTAGGCAGTGCTCTACTTAATCCACTAGCCTGGTGATCTTGTCAGTATCTCATTGGAACAGGTATAGTATCTCTGGCTGCCAAAGGCCATTCATCCTGAAAACACCAGACTGTATTTCCACTCCCAAAGCCATACTTTGCCAGTGGTGCTAAGCAGTTTGGATTAATCTTCACTGGCTGGGCCTGAAATTAATCTAGTGGATGAAATGAAATAGGCAGTTAGGTGGCACGGTGGATAAAGTGTTAGACCTAAACCTATACCTAGCCTCTGACACTTAGTAGCTGTATGACTGAACAAGTCACTTAAGCTCTGCCTCAATTTCCTCAATTGTAAAATGGAGATAATTGCACCTACCTCCCAGAATTGTTGTGAGGACCAAATGAATTCATCAGATCTCTCTCTGGAGGTGGATATCATTTTTCATTATGGGTCCTTTGGAATTGTCTTGGATCATTGTATTAAAAAGAATAGCTAAGTCTTTCACATTTGATCGTTATTATGATAATGCTATTACTGGGTCCAATATTCTCCTGGTTTAGCTGACTTTACTTTGTATCAGTTCATATAAGACTTTCCAGGTTTTTCTTGATGCCATGCCCCTTGTTATATCTTATAGCACAATAATATTCCATAACAATCATGTTATGGAATAACTTGTTCAGCCATTCCCCAATCGATGGGCATCCCTTCAATCCAATTCTTTGCCATCACAAAAAGGGCTGCTAAAATATATTTGTACATACAGATCATTTTCCTTTTCTTTTATCTTTTATCCGGGATACAGACCTAATAATAGTACTGGTGGGTCAAAGGGTATGCAGCTTTATAGCTCTTTAGGCATAGTCCCAAGTTTTTCTCCAGGATGGTTGGAGCAGTTCACAACTCCACTAAGATTGAATTAGTTTTCCCACATCCCCATCTAGCATTTGTCATTTTCCTTTTTTGTCATGTTAGCCAATCTGATAGATGTGAGGTGGTGCTTCACAGTTGTTTTCATTTTCTTTTCTGTAATCAATAGTGATTTAGAGCATTTTTTCATGCGACTATTGATAGCTTGGATTTCTTCTTCTCATGGTTGTCCATTCATAGCCTTTGACCATTTATCAATTGTAGAATGGCTTATTTTTATAAATTTGGCTCCATTCTCTATGTGTTTGAGAAATGAGAATGTTATTGGAGAAACTTTGTCATAAAAATTTTTTTCTGCTTTACGTCTAATTTTGGCTGATTGGTTGTTTTTTTTTTAAAGGCAATTGGATTAAGTGACTTGCCCAGGGTCACACAGCTAGTATGAAGTGTTTGGTCTGAGGCTGGATTTGAACTCAGGTCCTCCTGACTTCAGGGCCAGTGCTCTATCCACTGTGCCACCTAGCTGCCCCTATTTTACCTCAGCTGATTGGTTTTTTGTACAAAAACTTTTAAATTTCATGTAAGCAAAATTATCTGTCTTACTTCCCATGATCCTCTCTATTTCTTGCTTAGTCATAAATGCTTCCCTTATCCCTAGATCTGACAGGTAAATTTTTCCTAATTTGCTTTTATCACCCCTTATGTCTAAATCATGTACTCATTTTGAACTTAGACTTTGGTGTGAGATGTTGGTCTAGAGTTTCTGCCAAACTGCTTTCTAGTTTTCCCAGCAATTTTTGTCAAATGATGAGTTTTTGTCCCCCAAAGCTTGAATCTTTGGGTTTATCAAATACTAGATTACTAAGGTCATTTGCTACTGTGTATTACATACCTAATCTATTTCACTGATCTACCATTCTAGTTCTTAGTCAGTACCAGATTGTTTTGATGATTACCGCTTTATTAATAAAATTTTGAAATCTGGTACAGTTAGGCCACCTTCTTTCACATGTTTTTCATTGATTCCCTTGATATTCTTGAACTTTTGTTCTTCCCAGGAGAATTATTATTTTTTTCTAGCTCTACAAAATAATTCTTTGGCAGTTTGATTGGTATAGCACTAAATAAGCAAATTAATTTAAGTAGAATTATCATTTTTGTATATATTTTTTCTTTTTTCCTTTTTAGGCAATTGGGGTTAAGTGACTTGCCAGGGTCACATAGCTTGTAAGTGTCAAGTGTTTGGTCTGAGGCTGGATTTGAACTCAGGTCCTCCTGACTTAAAGGCTGGTGCTCTATCCACTGCGCTACGTAGCTGCCCCTAGAACTGTCATTTTTATTTTATTGGCTGGGCCTAGCCATGAGCAATTAATATTTCTCCAGTTGCTTAGATCTGTCTTTATTTGTGAGGAAAGTGTTTTGTAATTGTGTTTCTAATTGTAATACAAAAAGCGTTTTGTAGTATGTAATGTCATGTAGACCCTGGTTTGTGTTGGCAGATAGATTCCTAAGTATTTTATATTGTTTTCAGTTATTTTAAATGGAATTTCTCTTTCTATCTCTTCCTGCTGGATTTTGTTGGTAATTTATAGAAATGTTAATTATTTATGTGGGTTTATTTTATATCCTGCAACTTTGCTAAAGTTATTACTTATAGTTTTGTTTCCTCATTGCCTTTTCTTATTCCTTCAATTGCTTTGTCTTATCCTATTGTTATAACTAGCATTTCTAGCATAATATTGAATAACAATGGTGATAATGAACATCCTTGCTTCATTCCTGATCTTATTGGAAAGGCTTCTAGTTTATTCCCATTACAGATAATGCTTGCTCTGGGTTTCAATTTAAGAAAGTCTCCATTGATTCTTATGCTTTCTAGTGTTTTTCATAGGAATGGGTGTTGTATTTTGTCAAAAGTTTTTTATGCATCCATATAATCATATGATTTTGTTGTTATTGATATGGTCAATTTTGTTTATCCCTTCCCTATTGTTGAAAACGGAAGAAGGGAATAAGTATTTATATAGTGCCTACTATCGTGCCAAGCACTGTACTATCTCCCCTGCACTAGCCACTCTTCTGTTTTCCCCATTTTGACCCCTTGGTGAACCAATTCAACTCTATACTGTCTTCTTCTCTTGAATCCCTAGCCCCATTATCATATAGCCCATTATTCCCAGCCAAGCCTCAGCCTGGGATCACTCCCCCCATTCTTCCCCTTTCATGCTTATACATATTCTGCTGAATGAAAGTGGAAAAAAAAATCACACGACCATTCTGACTGGGCCTACCACAAACTTATGTTGCATAATGTCAACTGAGCCCTCAGTGCTGATAGGAAATCCTGCTATACCCTCTGATCAACTCATTATCCTACTCTCCAAAGCTGTTCTTCCAAACTTTTTCATCCCTCAAACCTCCCATGACTCTAATTCCCCCACTGTTTCATATTTTACCAAAAAAATTGAGGCCAGTTGCTGCGAATTCCCTCTTCTCCCCTCTTCCTCAGGTGCCCTCTGTCACTTTATCTTCCTTCACCCCTCTCTCATATGATGAAGTGGCCTTTTTTTTCCAGTCATTTTCACTTGTGTCCAACTCTTTGTGACCCTATTCTTGGCAAAGATACTGGAGTGATTTGCCATTTCCTTCTCCAGCTTATTTTACAGATGAGGAAACTGAGACAAACAGAGTTAAGTGACCTGCACAAGGTCACACAGCTAGTAAGTGTCTGAGGCCAGATTTGAACTCAGGAAGATAGACATCTGACTCCAGGCCTGGCATTCTATCCACTACAGCTGCCCCTAATCCTTCTTAATTCCAGTGGTTTTCTACTGTTGGTTACTTCCTATTCATCTTACATATAGCTTGCATTGTATGTATTTTTTTGCATGTTGTCCTCTGTATTAGATTATAAGCTCCTTGGTGGCAAGAACTGTCTTTTGTCTCTTTTTGTATCCCCAGTGCTAAGCACAGTGCCTAGTATATAGTAGGCACTTAATAAATGTTTATTGAATGAATGGATAATTTGATCCTCACAACAACCCTGCAAAGTATTTTAAAATATAAAATATACTATTTGTACATTGCTCATAAGCCTGCATTATCTCATTTGTGCTCCTCTCTCTCAGTTCATGGCCTCCTACATTTACAAGATTCAGACACTTATTATGCAGTGATTACATAGTTTATCACAGGGCTTCTTAAACTTTTTCCACTAGTGACCCCTTCAGCACTTCTTAATCTGTGAGTTTAACCCATGTGGGGTTGCAAGCTACAGTTTAAGAAGTGCTGGTTGTCATACATAGAATAAAATAGGGGGGGGGAAATGAAATAGGAGGCATCTACCTTCAATTGTTTCCTGTATCTCTGGTTTTCCTCACAGATCTTCCAGTGTGGTAGGGGAGGGAAGGAAGAAAGGAAAGAAAGAAGAAAGGAAGGAAGAAAAAAAGACAGAAGGAAAGAAGAAAGAGAGGAAAGGAAGAAAGGAAAGAAAGAAGGAAGGAAAGAAGAAAGAAAAGGAAGAAAGAAGGAAGGAAGGAAGGAAGGAAGGAAGGAAGGAAGGAAGGAAGGAAGTACGTATCAAGCATTTAATGTGCCAGGCACTGTGCTAAGCACTTTACAAATAGAATATCATTTGATCCTTACAATAACTCTGGGAGGTAAATGCAATATTATCATCCCCATTTTACAACTGAGAAGACTAAGGAGGACAGATTGTAGCCCTTGGAGGTAACAACTTCCCTGTCTCTAATGACTCATGGGAAGGAGTAAGGCAAGGGTTAACCAGACCCAATCAAAATCATGTTCTAGAAACAAGGGAAAGTAGGGAAGATAGTGATAGAGGTCAGTTTCCTATCTTACTCACCTAATAGGATTCATAATTGCTAGAAATCTCAGCAATTGTCGATTTTTACTTTTGGCTCTCTTCCAGAGTCAGGACCTCTCCCACTGCACTGACCTCCAACTGTCTCTTCTCCAAAGGGCCACGATTTCAAGGAAGAAGTGGTCAGGGTCTCTGGGACTCCTCGTGTGGTTTTGCTCACTCCCCACACTTGTGTCTAGAAGCAGTAACCACTGCCAAAGATACGGCTCCAGCTGGCTTGCATCATCTTCGTGGAAGTCCAAAAATCTGAATCTCAAAATCAATGAAAGGAAGAGAAGAAGTCAACCACTCAGGAGCTTAAATGTATAGATGACACCCGATTATCTGGTAGAGAGACTTCTGACCTATTGCAAATGAAAATTCACTCGTACTCCTGGGTGAAGGGAACTTCTCCAGGGCTAGGGATCAAAGGAAATGTGTAGGTAGGTCTCATGATCTCAATAGCCTCCCTAGGCTCTAAGAGAAAAGTAATTCATAGAGATAAGTAGATTGATCAGGGAAGATGAGGTTATACTTATCTGTGAATAGATTATATCTTTTCCAACTTCCACCCCTGCCCAAGGGGAATGTAAGCTTCTCCAAGAATTTTATCATTTGTAGCTTTGAATCACCAGAGCCCAGCAAAGAGCTTTAGCCAAGAAATCCATAGAAGGAGCTTCTTCTTGTTCAGTAATTTCAATCTGACTGTTCTTGACCCCACTTGGGGTTTTCTTGGCAAAGATACTCAGTGGTTTGCCATTTCCTTCTCTAACTCATTTTACAGATCAGGAACTAAAGTAAATGATGTTAAGTGACTTGCCCAGGGTCACGCAGCTACTAAATATCTGAGGCTGAATTTGAACTCAGGTCCTCCTCACTCCGCTCAGGTCCCACTCTGTCCACTGGGCCTCCTGATGTTTGTTGAATGGAATGTTGAAGGAATAATTAGTTAGGGGCTAACCCTCAAATGGGCTGGTGTAGTGGGCAAACATTGAACCAGAAGAGCAAAGACCCAAGAGACCTTGAGCGATTCAGTTAAAATTTTGAGACATTAGTTTCCTTTAATTATAAAATTGGGAGGGGGTGGACTTTGGCATTTCAGAAGGCAACATTAAAATCCTATGAGAATATCTAAGAGGTAGAGACTGCATTTTGGCTTTGGGGGGGAATTCTTCTCATTAGGTCAGATACTAACCCAAGTTTAGTGAAGATGGTGATGATTTAGAAACTGAGGTACAGGTGAGAGATAAAGTTTGGGTGGAGGGGAGAAGAGAGAGGAGGTTCAGGGTGAGAAAGCATTACTAGAAGTCTGGTATGGGATATAATTGTTCTGCTGCACTCTTTCCTGGTCAGACTGTTGTCTGCACCTCTGGGGCATTGTGCCCCAGGGACTGGAAAGTCTGCTATACTAAGATCAACTGAAGTAATTGCAGCTGATTAGGTGGAAGGGAAAACCGGCCTGGAGCAGGGTACTGTGCTGGCAGATTTCATTCAGCTCACTGCAAGGAAGGACTTCCTAATAATTAGAGCTGTCCGCCATTACAACAGGTTGGCTCAGGAGGCAGTGATCTCCCCTGGCCCATTTCCTGGCTTCTGGCAGAGTTCTGACCCATTGCCAGGTATGCTGTAAAAAGGATTCCTGTTCAAGTATGGGCTGGACCAGATGCCCTCGAGGTTCCTTCCAGCACTGAGATTCTATGAGATGTTTCTAGCTCCACCTCGAAAGGGAAAGTTACTTCTGCATTCTTGGCCATATGTGGCTCCCTTAAGACCTCAGTAACTTTCCTAAGACTAATTTAAAAAGAAAAGATTTTTTGGGGATATTTGACAAATCAGGGCAAATAGGCATTGAAAAGGAGACTAACTGGACTTTAAGAAATCAGAGGTCTGACTAGTATTCCTTCGGTAAAGGGGGAGTGGGGAGAGCTTATTGAGTGGAAGTCTAAGAGTTAAAGAAATAAAACAGGTTGAAGGCTGAGCTCAACTGATTTTTTTTTTCCTTAAGGCTTATAGGTATGTTTCATGCTGTTTGCCCTGGGTGCCCTGCTTGCCATATACAACACTGGGAGCAGGGAGAGGGGCAGAGGAAAGACAAGGGATATCAGGGCCAACCACAACCTGACCAAAGATATGAGATCCAGCCATAGCCTAGGAGCTCAGAGGCAGAAAATCTAAGGAGCAGAAGAGTAGAAAGTATACCATCATATCATATCATATCCTCCTCCCTCCCATTAGTACATGCATGACCTTGGCCTCATCAATAAGAGAGGAAAAATAATACTTTCCCTATCTGAAAATAAAGGATAAAATGAGATAACACAAGTCTGTTTAATATATATATGTATATATATATATATAATATGTATACATATACACACATATATGTATATGTATGTACGTATATATATATAAATGTCTTAATGAAGCTTTTTACATTGCTGTAATTTCCCACTGATTCTCCTTATCTTCACCCCTCGTAACAAAGAAGTAAAGTTAGACAAATCAAGACTTTGGACATGCCTATAATAATATTTTTTGTTGTTGTTCAGTTGTGTCATGACCCTATTTAGGATTTTCTTGGCAAAGATACTAGAGTGGTTTGCCATTGCCTTCTCCAGCTCATTTGACGGATGAGGAAACTGAGGCAAATAGAGTTAAGTGATTTGCCCAGGGTCACACAACTAGTAAGTGTCTGAGGCCAGATTTGAACTCAGGTCTTCCTGATTCCAGGCCCATCCCTCTATCCACTGTGCTACCTGACTGCCCTATGGTAATATTAGCCAGCATTTTAAAGTCTGCAAAAAGCTTTATATGTGCTATCTTATTTGATTCTCATAACACTCTTGGGAGGGAAGTGCTATTATTGCCCCCATTTTGCAGAGGAGGAAACAGTCTAAGAGAGGCTAAGTGACCTGCCTATGGTTACACAACTAATAAATATCTGAGGTGAGATTTGAACTCAGGTCTTCCGTGGCTCCAGGTCCAGAGCTCTACCTGCTGCACTACCTGGCTGCTTTTTTTATATTCCATCTAAAATCCACCATCTCCCTGCTAAGAATCAGCTTCTCACCACCTTCACTGGTTTGAAGTCATGATTGTTACTCACGGTGATTGTGACTCACCGTGGTGATCAGAGTCCAGGTGATCTTTCTAGTACCTTGTAGCTTCCATTTCAGTAGTCCTATATGACCTTTAAGTCTTCTCTTCTTCCTCCCCTTAGCTGCTTTTCAATGTTGGGATAGGCATTTGTGTGCCCGCATCAAAGCAATAACTAGCAACTCAGATACCTAGGGCAAGCAGCATGAAACATACCTATAAGCCTCTTATTTTTGAAAGACAAATTCAGTTGAAGGTAGAGTGGGAAGAGACCCTGGACATTAAGGTGCATGGAGACGAAGACCCTGGGATGCCAGACCCTGTAGGCAGAGATCCCAGGACTTAGTGAGCCTGTGGGATGCTGTGGGGAGAGTGGGCCAGAGTAAGTCAAGGAAAAATTTACCTGGGATGTGGCTAAGGAAGGAGAGGGGAGAAATGTGCCATACAGTAGACTAATTAATCCTGATAGCCAGGGGCAGGCAAGCAAGCAGGCAACAAACATGTATTAAGCACATGTGCTTAGTTATTATTAATTATTAGCACTGTGCTAAGTTTTGAAGACACAAATATAAGCAAAAAAAGAAAGAGATTGAGACCTGTTGGAGGTCAGGAGACCTCGACCTCTAGGCCCTGACATTCTAATGGAGAAAGACAACACCAAAAAGAAAGTTTAAAAACAGAACCAGGAAAGAGAAGTTATCTGTCAGGATGTGGTGGCAAAGTCCATAGAATCAGAAGCAAAGCTAGACTGGAAACTGACCATTGGGAGAAGGCCAACATGGCAAAGGGATGTTTAATGATGAGAAGGAAGAGAAGGCCGCTGAGTTGTAGTAATGAAGACCAGAGACATGGAAGCATAGCCTTTAGGGGCATGAAGGTGGTTCCTTAGGTTTGTTCCCAAAATGAAGGTCCATAGAAAGAACTCGCCAATTAGAAGAGGGGCTATTGTGGGAGACATGTTACAGGGTCAGAAGGCCCCAGGTCCTGAGGGAAACTAAACTCAATTGTTGCTATGTAGTTGAAGGAATATAAATGATATCTGTACCATCTAAAATTCAGTGCCCCAGGGCAAAGCCTGATTTACCTTACCTTAATAACAGCAGGTAGGTGACTGTAATGGATAGAATGCCACTAGTCCTGGAGTCAGGAAGACCTGAGTTCAAATCTGCCCTCAGGCACTTACTAACTGTGTGATCCTAGGCAAGTCACTTAATCTCTGCTTTAATCCACTGGAGAAGGAAATAGCAAACTACTCCAGTGTCTTTACCAAGAAAACCCCAAATGGGGTCATGAAAAGTCAGACAGGACTAAACAACAATTATAGCTCTGATCCTCAAGAAGGTTTTGAAAATTATGCTCTCTGCTTCATTTTACAATCCACTGGAGGCTTTGCACTTTCAATGTGACATGTATAACATATATGTAACATGATTTCTCACACAAACATACACACACAAGACCTGCAGATCCTGAGGGGCAGAATTTTTTATAAACTTTTCTTGATGTTATTTTTTACATCATCACAGTTTTCTCCAGTATCCCTTTCCCTCCCCACTTTAGAGAGCTATACCTTATAACAAATAGTCATTTTTAAAGACAAAAAAGAAAAAGGAAAAAATCTGCACAGCCGATCAATACATTCAAAAAGTCTGAAAAGGTGTGCAATATGTAAAAGCTGTGGACTTCCCACCTCCACAAAGGGGTGAGTTAGGAGTGTCCTGTCATATCTCTTCTTTCATGCCATGCTTACTTTTAACAATTCTGCAACATTCACTTTTAATTTTTTGGTGTGTGGTTGTTCTTTCCATTTATATCATCATCGTTGCTGTGTTTGTTGTTTTCTTGCTGTTGCTTTACTCTGCTTCAGTTTATGTAGATTTTTCCATGCCTTGCTTTATCTTCACATTCATCATTTCTTCCAGCACAGTAATATTCCATTACATTCATGTACCATAATTTGTTTACCATTCCCCAATCAATGGGCATGGACTGTTTCCAAATCTTTGC